GTGTGGATACACATGATGTGTCCAGTGACTGAGCAAGGACAGTGATTGTTCCAGTACCACTGCTGTGGTTACAGCAGTGCTCTGTAGGTGCACAGCCAAAAGCACCACCACCTTGAACAGGTGAAGTGACACAGTGTGATGTTCATGTGGGATTCATAAATCAGGCTTTGAGGATCCAGTCCAACAGGTGTATTCTCAGCATGGTGACAGGTGTAGATAATACTGTGGCTAAGGACTTAAAATACTGCTACTTCCTATGTAAATATTACATGATCACTTCCAACTGTAAAGAGTATTCTCTCATTTCTGAAAATCTTGCTTATCTGCTGCTCTGATCTGATTTTACAAAATTCAAATATTAAAAGATCATGATAATGTTTATAATTTACGAAGCTTTTTTTTTTTTGTTGAGCTTGCATAAATCACATGCAACAAGCTGCAAATTCCTCCAAATAACCACCATAACTAATACTGTTCTCTCAAAAAGCATTTGTATCACTCAACCACATCACTTTCAGTCTTGACTGTTGTGCTTTTGGGGTGCAGAAAGGCAAGCAAAAAAAAAAAAAAGTTAAAGATGGTGGATATTCTAGAAGTGACATATTCTAAGTTAACTTATTCCACAACTCCAACAAGAAGCACAATCTTTCTGAGAAGTGCTATGAGAAATGTTGAGTTACAATGACTTTTTACAAACAAGGGTGGAGTTGGAATTCATCATCCATCAGAAACCAGCTTAGCCTTAAGAATGCTAGCACTGTATTTGTCTCCATTACATTACCCAACAACACGTGAACCAAACAAACATGACTGAAATTATTCTGACATTCCAATGTTTTATAATGTGATTTAAAGTCATTCCAGGAAACAAAAAATCCAACTCATTTGACCTCCATAATACGCTTAATCAAAAGGAGAGCTTTAGTCTCATAAAACCAATATTTGCTATAGAAACAATTTAACTGTAACTGCACCCATCTTATCAAGCTTCCTAGTAAAAAATCCATAATCCTCTTCAGTCGCAAGAGTCAAAGTCCAAGTTTTGGTAATTTAAAAAAGTCTGTTATTTTCAGGTTGTTGTTGCTCTGCCCTGAAACACTCTTGTCCTCCCAAACATGTTCTCCTGAAGAATGTGGCTGAGCAGCACTTATATTTGTGCACTAAAAGGAATTCATTTCAGTGACCTGTTTTTCTCATCTTGTGAACATACAAAAAATTTCAATGGGAAAGTGTTTCGCATATCTCACTATGTGGATGGCACCTGCTGTGCCATTATTTCACTAATTCCCCTATATTATCTGTTCAGCTCAACAGATGAAGCTTCAATAAATTAATATCACAAAGGAGAAAGTACAAGTGAGGCAGTTGTTTGAAGGTCCTTCATTATTTAACAGCTCTTCAATGATATTTCCCTTACCTCATCTTCAGCCCTCTAACTGCAAGACTGAAGTCTTCTCAGGTTTGACATTTCTAGATAACTGTAGGAATTCCAAACTTAAAGTTACTTAGCTCATACTATCAGCTTCTTGACAAAGGGAAAGCTGCTTTAAAACACTGAAAACCATTTAACTATGAGTCCGTACGTGGTACAGTCGCACAAGTGTAAATTTTTATTGACAGGCTGGAGAAAGTGAAACAGATAAAATTACAGTCACCTTGGAATGATTTGGTGAAAAACGGGTATCAACTCCTGAAAACAGTGAAGCACTGCTGCGGGAGAAAAGTAAAGGCTACTTTTAAAGTAACCTTTCTCTTAGGCACAAAAGAACATTGATTGTCCTTATCAGGGAGGAGTACAAAGCCTGCCTCCCCAGCCCTACAAAGAAGTGCTTGGAATTCGAGACACAGCAACCAACACAAGTAGAAAATCAGGTCAGAAAGAGCAGGACACAGTAAGGCTTGTAGAAACATGCCTGTCTACCTATTCAGAGGCTTCGCATTGCGATTCAATTGAATCTGCCTAATGCATGCTTAAAACAACACGAGGTGATTTAGAATTGTACCCGCACGCACAATGCCTCCCTCCTCCCTTCCCACAAGAAGGTCTCAGAAACTTCTCTACAGCGTCCCTACAGGCTAAACCCACTGTCCAGCCTCCATAAACACTCAAAATCAATGTTTCCACTCAAGCAACAACTATATTTTGGGATCTGTGAGTTATTTTAAGCTCACGAAGCATTTATAGTCACAAGTTTTATTAAACAAACAAAAAGCAGTTACAACGATTAACCTCTCAGGGATATTTGCAAGATGCTGCAGAGAGAACTCCAAAACCAAATGAAGGGAAAATTTACATTACTCTTGGCTCCTCATTCGTTTCAATTACTTCCTTTTCTCATTCTTTGGAATGACCCTCAAAATATTTTATGCACTAGACTCTTAGAATTGTGTGTGACAATTACATATTTTTATCTTCTTTAATACAAAACAAATTACACCAAGTATCAAGATCAATAAATGTTTTAGTAGTTTCTAAATAAAGTTATATTTATGCAAACTAAAAGCCTTTCCTGAGTGTGTGTATATATATATATATATATATATACACATATATATCAGTGTATTTCTCAGCCATCATGCCTATCATTTGACCTGGGTATTCTGAAGATTTCAAAAGGACTCATACACCAAGAGTTTAGCTCATTATATTTGCCAAAACAAAAGCTTACTCTAGAGACTACATGAACTTTCCACTGTAAAATAAAGATTAACTTAAAGTATGTCTAGAGAGATTGGAAAAATAATTATAATTATGTCACAATGGCACTGCTTTTTTTTTTGTCAATCAGTATTACATATAGAAGTTTCTGGCCAATTACAGCAGGTCAGATATTAATCTGAGAAACAGCCACTCTTACAAGCAGCTAGCCTACAATTTGACTCAAGTTGACTTACAGGTAGAAATTAAACCATGGATTCCGACACAATTTTTAGCAGGAGACAGAGCAGGATCTATATGAGGTACTCATTTTTCTTGATGGGGAAATAATTCTGTCTCGTGAATTGCACGGGATCCCAAAAAATAGCTGATATAGTGCTGAAGGCTGGAGGAGATGACAAATGTATGACTCAAAGACTTTTTCTTGCCTTTCACTGATGTTTAGTTCTAGAAGAATGATAAGAAGTTTAAAACTTCCCTTAAAACTGCTTAGAGACATGAAATACAGTAACCACCTTCTTCTCCAGATGCAGATTCCCACATAACTAGCTAATAATAGTGTTTTCTTCATCATTTTCTTCCATCCTTAGCCTGGATCTAAGGACACCTCCTGCAAAGCCTACAGAAAAAAAGAAAAGCCTCCATGATGCAATACTGAGAACAGCAGGAACCCAGACCATAATTAAAGTTCTTATATGCTGTGATAACACAGATGAAAAAAAACCCAAAACTGACAGAAAAGAGACATCACAGCTCTGGCCCTTTATAACAGTTCCTTCAATGACTGAATCATCTGTTCTGCTCTGGTTAGGCTGCACTCAGGTGACTAGGTCATCATTAGGCTGACTAGATGAAGAAAGTTGACCATCACCAGAATGCAAACTGTTACCCATATTCTGTCATCTTCTTGTCATCCAACCCAGAAAAAAAAAGGCAGCAAGAAAACTGATGTGCAACTGAAATTGCTTGTCAAACTCCGATTTGGTTTGCTGGGTTAATAGATAGTTATGAGGATTATATTTCTCTGCTAACTGCATATGTACCTTGCAGGCAGACAGCATAAGGAGAGAGCAGAATCAAAAACTCCTATCAGCAACCTCCTTGCAAACTGGAGATGGGGGCGGGTGAACTACGTAGCCCTTCTCTACCCCTCCAACAAAAACAAAATACAAAACTATGTATTCTGTTCAGCCCATGGGGCATGAAACAGAAACTAAAACCAGCAACGCTACACTATCACAGCGTGAACCAATTGCCCATGCAGGGAAGGTGATGTTTCTCTTATGGATGCTTGATGGACACGGATTACGGAGTTCTGAGGATGCTGTGTTTACTCAGTTGGCTACTGAAATGGATAATTAATTAGTTTTTATTAGCTGTAATGCAGCCACTAAGCATTTTGAACACTTCATGCCAAAACATACCAGAACACACACATACCTGTCATGTTACTGAACTGAAAACCAGATCCACACAGTAAAAGGCTGAAGGAACTGAATACACAATAAACCTTCAGATAGGAATGTGCTACGTCTTTCTGCAACACAGAAAGTGCTGCTGCCCTCACTGCTGAAGCATAAAGAATATCAATTATACCTAAATCCTTTTGATGTTTCTTATTAAAGAACGAATTCAGTACGACGTTTACGCCCAGATTTCCTTTACAGAAAGCTGTCACTTTATATGAAGATATGGAAATTCATAGGTCACACGCATTTTAACAAGAGAATGATGTACAAGCTTCAATTAAACAGAGAACGCAGTGATGCCCTTCAAAATAGAGTCTGAGAAGAGCTGTACCTATTCCCAATATTTCTTAATGCAGAGGTGCTAGCGGCCTGAAGTCTGTCCCTAGGCTCTCCTCGAATTTATCTCTTCATCCTGCCGTGGGTGGCAGGCACCGAGGCACCGCACCTGCCCGGGCTCGGCTCCCCTCGGGATCGTCTCCCCTGCACCGCCGCGCTGATCGCCTCCCAGCAGGGAAAGTTCGGCCTCACTTAACAACCTCCAAGACCCTTTAAATACACCCGAGACTTCTCGCCTACAAAGGTTTGGTTTGCCAAAAGCAATTTACGAACTAGTTAAGCTTCGGCAGCCTTGCGGAGGAGAGTTGTCTTTTCCGCCCCCATCGCACAAGCAACCGGGCAAATTCAGCCCCGCGTCCCAGGGCAGCCCACGGCCGGGCTGGGGTCCGTGCGGGGCGAGGCTCGGAGCCGAGGGCAGGCTGGGCAGGGCGGCCAGGACGAGCTGCCAGCCCCGCGAGTCCCCGGCCCCGCAGGCTGAGCCCTGCCCGCGGCGGCCGCGCTCCTCTCCCCGCTCCCCGCCGCTCGCCCCCACTCACCGCCACCGAGCCCGAGGAGGAGGCGACGAAGACGCGGATCACCATCTTCACCTCATGAGCCGCGGCGACAGGAGCGGTGGGGACGGGGCAGCGAGGCTGCGAGGAGCCGCTCCCCCGCACGGGACGGGGCCGGGGCCGCCCAGCTCCACCCCGCCGCTGCCGCCCCCGAGAGACTTCGCCTCCCGCAGCACCCCTGCCCTGCCCTGCCTTGCCCTGCCCGGCAGCGCAGCCCCTCTCGGGCGAGCCGGGTCCGGCTCCCGGCTGGCAGGAGGCAGCGATAGCTGCGAGAGGCGGGGGTGTGTGGGCGACGCGCAGGGACCGACGGGCTCTGTAGTCCTCCCCGGGCGGGCACAGCCGTAGCACGGAGCCGGGAGGGAGCCGGGAAGGAGTCTGCCCGCCCCCAGCTGCCGGAGGAAAGCGAGGAAACGGAGGCATGCGGCAGCCTGCCCGCCCCAGCTGCAGTGCCCCAGCGCCCGGGGCTGCCCGCTGCCGCCCGGGAGAGGCTGAGAGGGGCTTGTGGCAGCCTCCAGGTGCGCTGCCCGCCGGTCGAGGTGAACAGCGCCTGAAATTGCTCCCCCACGCCACGAGGGCTGCCCCTCGCTCCAGCTGAGGCTGCTCCTGGTTCTCCTACCCCGTGTGGAGCCGCCAGATCTGATCCGCTGGGTCCCTCGGCCCCTTGGCCGCCGCTTACTGCGGCAAAGGTGGAAAATGAGCCGTTCTGGACAGGAGTTCCTGTCAAGGCAAGCAACAGGGATAACGCAAGAGAGGCAGGACACTGGGTGAGAGGGCTGTCCCACGCCATACATCCCAAAGGAGCTAAACAGCGCTGCCCCTTTTCACTCCCTGGTGTGGATGTACAGCGCCCAATGTTGTCAGCTGTGGAGCAGATGTTATTAATCATCAGGATAAGCAGATAACCCCAAATAACCCTTCGTCAGTCAGCTCATCTGCAAGTGACCGCGGGGAACTCGGTCCTCATCAGCTTTTGGGTCTGTGAGGATGCAGCCTGCCTTTATTTAAAGTCAAGGATCACACAGCTGACAACCTTATACATTGCTACTACCATCGTAAGCCTCATCCTCTTTCTTCCATGCGTGCAGCCCGATGGTTGCTCATTCCCTCTGACTAAATTTTCCCTTCATGCCGTTTCACCCCAATGATGAAGTGTGCTGTGTCATCCTCCTTGACACCTTTGCATTGCCACTGCCCTCAGTAAATTTCCATTGTTCAGACTAAGCACAGACCTCGACTTGCTGCTAAATATATCCTTAAAGCTTGTTGTATATTTTAATATTGATTATTTATTTTGAAATCCTGAATTTCTTGAGGAAGGTATACCTAGCAAGAGCCATAAAACTCTCAGTTAGATCTTGATTTATCTTGTGGGAGTCATTGGAAAGCTTTCTACTGATTTCACTGTCTCTGGACTGGAACTTAATATCAGGAATATAAAGTCCTAAAATGGGAATTCAAGTAGCAATCTTGCAGAGATGTATGCATTAATTTGCTTTCATGAGAGTGCTTGTTGAAAGAAAAAAAGCAAACATTATTGGAGTGCACTTAGGTACAAAGGTTAAGATTTTCTGGCTTCAGTGCTCCTGTCTTCACTTAAGCATAACTTTTACTATGGGAACCACAAACTGGTGAACAAAGAGTGTTTATTGTTTAATTGCTGCTGACTGACCAGGGGAAGCAGCAAAGGAGACAAACTTGTTTTTATGTTGGTTTGTAAGAGAACACCAAGCAATGTGTTAAAATTCTGTGATAGGTGAGTAATTATAGGAATTTGCTGGAAAGTTCCCATTACCTTAGTGAATTTCTTTCACACTGCAGGATTATTTCTGACAACAAATTTTCCTGGATTTCTCAAAGTTTTCTTTAAAAGATGAAGGTGCTTACTTCCTACTTATTTCTCTATTTACTCACTACTAGAAAATATTTGGTTTAATATTCTGTTTTGACCACATTCTCATTTTATGAAACAAAATCTGGGCAACCCCCTGCAGCTGGTTGTACATGATTCACTCACAGCACAAATACATAACTTTAAACTATAATATTAATAACTCCTACTTGCTAATATATTTCATAGATACTGCAAAGTGGGGGAAAAAAGGCAGCAAGAGTGATTCTGAAGCATGCTGGACATCTTCATCTCTCACTAAATAGAAGAAGAGAATGCTCCTACATCTCAGAGACAGCCTTGACACATAACCAATATCTCAGAGAAAGCATGTGGCAATGGCATTATATGGAAAAAAATCCACAAGCTGTAAATAAGAAAATTAAGAATTCTAATGGGACGGTAAAAACTGTAACGGAAGTGGTTTTTATGATTGTTTCCTCTTCCTATAAGAATCCTCTATTTTGTTAGTTCCAAAAGCCACAGATACAGTCTCCTTTCCCATGTGAAAAACAGCTGTCATTTCAGTTCATTTCAAAGTGTTTATAAGCTGCATAAATTCTCAAAAGCTATGGGGAAAAAATTACAGACAAGACACTGCACATTTTTCTTTTTTATTGTTTTTAGAGTCTCCCTTTTGTTCCTGCAGCCCTTGGTTTGGCAGGTTCCTACCTAGGTTGGTAGGTTCCTAGTCTGAACTTAAAAACAGTCTGAGCAGCTAAATTCATCACCAGAGTTGATAGACTCAAATTGAGCTGAAGTCATGACCAGTCTGGTCTTCATGACAGAGCTCATGAAGAACTTCCTTTTATCACACTTGGCACAGCTTTAGCCAAAGCTTCAGCATCTTTATTCCACACATATTTTGAGAAACCATCAAAGAGTAGAGGACTTCTTGCCCACATTCAACTTGATAATGAATGCAGCAATTAAAGCATCCTTTCAAACACTCTTTGGAACTGATTTTGAAAAATCTTAGTCTGTATTTCAATTTTCTTGTAATTCTCAAATTTTTAAGTATATTTATAGTATTTCAGGCTAAAAATTCTGCACCTAGATCTTATCAGTATGCAACATGGGAATTGAAAATCCAGACATCTCTCTCATGTCTCTCTTTTCCCAGTTTTTCCATACACACAATGAAGCTAGTTCGTTGTGGAAGTAATCCAGAAAGTTAGGAAAAATAAACATTACACTGAGAAGCTGGAGATTTTAAAGCTTGTAGAGTAGCATCTTACTTTATGTGGCTTCTAAGCATTGTTCCTCTGTGGAATGTAAAACCTATTGGACATCACTCTGTGATGTTTTGCACTTTCAAGTGGTGTACAGGTTAAGACTGGACATCACCCTTTGTCCTGCAGCTGCTGCTGGTAAATGTCCTGAGGCCACACCTTTAACTCCATTTCCATTGTACAGTTCTGGATGATTGAAGACAAAATAGTATGAACTTTCAGTTAAGTAGAAGAAATGTAACAAATTAAAAACATTGCCAAAATGATTTATGAGCAATTTCCCATGTTTACAGGAGGTACAGGAAGACTGGAGTAGACGATGTGGATTTACGGGGGGCAGGGGTAGTTTCTAAAGATTTCGTGGTCAGAATGATCCATTGTTATGCCAGGCCTTCATGGAAGATTAAACAGAACTTTACTGCTGCTAAGGTAACAAAATACACACAAACCTGAAGCTCATGAGTGTGTGGAAACAGAAGTATAAATGTACAACTTTAAGCAAAGAACATTCTAGTTATGATAAAAGGTGATTGTACAGTAAGATGCAACAGGCATAGGATAAAAATACAGGAGAAACATAATATTATTTTTAGGACTGAAAAAATTGTTAAGTTGGCTTTTTTTCCACCTGAAAGAAGTAGTCTGTCTGAGGCATTTTAGAAGTTTCTTGGTCTGTGGGTTGTTGGTACTAATCAATTATTTCTCTGGGTTCCGTGAAACATTGCTAAGAAACTGTGAAGTCTCACAGACTCTGCAACAGTCCACATACTTTAAATTTTTAAAGAGGTCTTTATCACTTTTTAAAAATTCCAAGGATCAAAACATGTTGAAAATTACAAATTTAGAATGCCCTTAAAAGCTCTGACAGTTCAGATCAATCTTTTTTTTGGGAGAAATGTGACTGTCATGGTAGGGAACAGAAAATTAAGTTAAGGGGTGAAGAAGACAGAGTGCTCCAGCTTCAATAGAGCTACAGAGTATCATCAGCTGCTCTTGCACTGCAGAACACCAGAGAAAGATAACTTAAATGCTCCAAACCTTACAAAATGGCCAAGATAATGTAATGTAAGTACAGGAGTGTTTCACTTGTTGAGTAATGGCACTCATTGTGGTGGCTGATAGCTGTCTTGGCCAGACACAGCTTGAAAGAACATGAGATAATGCTGCTTGGAGTCCAACTCTCTGCATACATCCTAGAAGCCACTGTATTTTTAAGGTATCATTTTATTCACAGAAGTAACCTCCAGGACACATTTTCTCTGCTATGCTTAAATGTCTGCAGCTGTGGTCTGTGCATACTCTTATGAATCTTCCTCTACATGCACAACAGGTCAAGCAGCTCCTAGTCAAGATCACTCTATCCTTTGTAAAATTGTTTTGGATGTCTTATTAATCATTGATGTTTCTCAATAACAAACTCGTTTTCATCCAAGCCTCTGTTCTTTCCAGAACCTTCACTGTGGCTACACAGTGAAGGCCATTTCTGATTTTTTCCCACAGTCAGATTTTAGAGATAACATCCCAAGATAGAGCTCTTTCTCTTTTGACTGGAATTACTCTGAAGCTACGACAAAGCCCATGTGTTAAAACAGGCTCTTGGGAAGAGACAGAGCTGGAAAAATTTTGAGAAAGCTTTTGATTCTTTCATTTACAAATTTGTGGCATATTGAGGAAAGCAGAGAGGTACAGCTGTTCTTCATTTCAGAATTATTTCTGTACCATCTCTTTATAACTGACAGAACAAAATAAACCCAAACAAACAAAAAAATTTTTAAAAATTCCAGAGATCTTAAGTGAACTTTCCTTCATGCCATTTATATCTAAATGTACTTAGATAATTACAAAGCCATATGAGTCCATTCTTCTCAGTGGATGCTCTTTAGCTGAAGTCACAATCTGCTGCTCTTTAGTTAAAACATGAATAGTTCTAGTATCTGTGGCTGCTTTGATTCCCTCACTGAATTTCTAATACTAAGGACCTTTGAAATGAAAA